CTGGCTTGCTTTTGCTGTATTTGTTGGGTCATTACCAATCTGTGCTGTGAAGCACCATCCAGCCAACTTTGCTGCAGCCAGCTGAATCTTCCTGGTCATTATCTTCGTTTAATCTGTCTAATGAGCGCTGTTACAGAACTGCTCTAACTGTCTAATCCTCTAACTGTTAACTGAGGAATGTTCTGAACTATTTTCTATAGTGAAGTATCGTATTATACACTTTTTTTAAAATAGAAAATTGACATGGATAAGGCTCGACCACCTTGCTTGACCATGGAAAGCATCCTATGATCATCCACGACCTTGGTCCTCTGTGGACCTCAAACTTTTTTATGCAAATAGCCACATTCATCAAATAACTGTGACCTGAATATGTTTTATACGCAAAGTGTGCTTTCACATGTCCAAAAATATATACATCTGCATGTACATTAACAATGCTGAAAACTCTGACTACTCTATATCCATGTAAGGTCTGTAACTCTGTTACATAGGTCACAAGCATAGTTACCATATAATCAGGGCCAGCTGCTTTCAGGATAACTTACCTGCCAGGGGGAAAATGCCCAGTTATGTGAAGTATAAATGCCCTGGGATCTGAAAGCAATGAGATTTTTATGGGTGTAAAAGTAATCTGCATGTGACCACATCCTCAGGGAGAAAGGACTAGCCAGAGATCTAACCCCTGACTGCTGCTGAGTATGCCTGGGATGTACTGGAACGAACAGGAGGATGGGGTACCTATGTACAGGTGTCCATTACCACAGCTGTTTAGCAGCATGGATTACCTATATAATACCCTTCAGAAGGTTTTATTGTTTTGGTTGGTTTATTAGATAGAAATCTGTTTTTATTTTCTTCACTTTTATCTTATTACACCTCGCAGCAGTTATCCTAAACCCTGAAGGTGTTATTCTCCCTTAATGATGAAATTTGAACCAGCTGAATCAATGTTGCAAGGGTGCTTTTGAATAATCTGACCCTATCAGTGACAGGAAAGCAAAGGGTTGGGTTTTTTTTATGTGAGCTGTTTATGCAGATGCTCTGTGTTTGTTTAATTTGGAGGGAAATGCTTTCAGACCATAGGTGGTAGGTTTGTGAAGCACAGCAAATTAATAAGACTGCCTTTCCACTGAACCAAAACATGCTTTTAATATGGCAGGGTTGTGTTGTGCTGCTGTCAGATCAGCTCAGTTCTGGTCTGTGTGTGTGTTGGACACGACAGCTTCCCCACTAACGAGACAGACATAAGAGGGTTTTTTTTCCACTGAGAGAAGCGAAAACATGACTAAAAAAAAGCGCAAGTCAAAGGAAGCGAAGGAGAGTCATATATGTAGAGTTGTTCGATATTTCTTGTTGGATGCAGTTTTAGAATTTCAACGTCCAGTAACAGACAGTGAGCTGGCATTCAAACATATTTATACCACAAAAGTCCAAAAGAATTCCAGGAATTCAGTTTTTCCACCAAGTATGTGCTTTAGTCAGGGTGGGAAGGTCTCTGAACAGGATTTATACCTCTTTTAGACAGACATGAGGGCTCTTCACTAAAACCCCCATTTAATGTTATTACTACTTTTAATTTCACTGTTACAACATGAAGCCAGTTGCAAGATTTTTGAGCAATCTGTAATTTCTTCATGGTTTGTCAGGAAAATGGGAGATAGAATTGCACAAACTCTGTTTTTACCTTATGTTGTAAAGTTCTGAACACAAACTTCTGAAAACTGCTTGCTGTTTGCAGGGTTAAATTTAGTGTTTTGGCCAACTTAGGTCAGCAGAAGAGACTTCAGAGTCCCAGTTTAACTAGTAGTAGTTATAGTGGAAATTACAAATTCAACAAATGAGTCATGACTGAAATATATGGAGGGGAAAAGCTGTTAGGCAACAGTGCTAACCACCGTGTTACTATGTAATGATTTATTTAATGATGTTTTTATTTAACCCATTCTGGCACTTGTGGCCCTCCATACAGCACAGAAATCATGAAATAATTAATTAATTAAAGTGGGAAATAATTAATTGAAATGGTGACATCAATAAATGCATCATTAATTAATAAAAATTGCAGATAAATAATTAAATGATTTGAATGAAACAAATTTAATTTAATTTAACTGATGACATGTTCAATCAATTATTTATTTATAAATATAGTTAATTCACTTTGGCACTTGTGGCCCTCCATACATGTTTGGTTTTAACTTATAATGAGCGCTAGAGAAAAAAAATACCAGTAAGTGCCAAGTGTTGCAGGTATTTAGTTAAACAAGCACAGGCTGCAGATCACATCGAACACTTCAGTAACAGCTACACATTTGTGAAAGCTAATGACAAAGATTTTCTGCTGATCAGAGTAGCTGGCCACCAGGTGCAGATTATTATAAAACGTCTTTCTTGCCACTGTAAGCATGGCCTCAGTCCATAATAACCTGAAGTTCTTTCTCTCACTTTTTCCCCTTTCTACTCCCTCCCCTTTCCTCTGCCTCCACCCATCCTTATGTCAGCCTCAGTGTTTTGTGACTTGTCCACCCAGACCTGACCTCAGCCATTTCAGCACTGACTCACATAAACATTTACCTCATTGCTGCTTTTGCAAGTGTATACTTTCTTCTATCAAAACTTCACTAACATTGTTCTCCAAATAGATCCCATGGTTTAATTTCATTTAACCTAACCTGACATATATTTTCCCTAATTTCATCCAAGCCTAGAATCCTTGTTTGTTTTCTCATTTGTGCCATGTGGAACCAGAGCCCAGTCATCTGAGGGCGACTGTGTGTTTCTTTTTTTTTTTTTTTCAACAAAAGTTGCACTAAAACCGTCTCTCTAGTTAAAAAAAAAAATATTAATGTCTTACAGTCCACCATTAGTTTAATTCTCCTGCTGTTTTTCTTTTGTCCTATTTTTTCTCACTAGCGGAGGCCAGACCTCTCCTGATGTTAAGATGATGTTGTGGCTAACTGCAGAGATCGATCCACAGCAGAAATTCCCCAACATGTTTTTGCAACACAGAAACATTTAAGGCAGTTTTCACTTATATAACAATGCACAAAAGAGACCAAAGTTATGTTGCACAGTGGAAATCTCAGACCAAACAACTCTTACACCTGCTCATTAGCATGTGGCAAACCTTTCACTAAATGCTGCAACCTCTGACTCTTTTTTCCCACAGCTGTATTGCGCAAAGGAGTAGTTCCTTAAAAACACTGTTTTTTATAGCTCTAAACATTCATTACATAGTCTAAATATATTTCCATATCCTCGTCAAAATGTCACAAAAGAAATACTAGAAATGCTAAGTTGCTGCTGAATAATTTTGTCTGTGACCTGTGTAAGGAAACATTCAGGGACTAATAAGTCACTAACAGAACAGTCAAAGTAATCATTTACTGTCACATTCCAAAAACAATCCATAGAGATGTTTTTCACTCTATGGATTCCACACGAAGACAGTTAGGATGGAGGTGTGACAAACAAAGCTAACATTCAACCAGGAGACTCTCGCTGCAGATGGCTGCTCCTCCCTGAGCCTGCTTCTACCGGAGGTTTCTTCCTGTTAAAAGGGAGTTTTTCCTTCCCACTGTCGCTAAAGTGCTTGCTCATAGGGGGTCATATGATTGTTGGGTTTTTCTCTGTATGTATTATTGTAGGGTCTACCTTACAATATAAAGCGCCTTGAGATGACTGTTGTTGTGATTTGGTGCTATATAAAAAATTTTTTAATTGAATTGAGGCTGGAATTGGTCTCATGTTTGGGACCACTTTTAGGTTTCACTTACACATTCATTTTGTATTACACTTCTGATATTTTTTAAGCATAAAAGTTGGTTTAAAATATCTTTTATGATGTTAAACACAATTGGAAAATCTTATTTTCTAAGCTTTTCAGCCTCTGATTTGCCCATGAATGTACAGTTAGCTTCCAAGACTATTCAGGCCTAAAAACAGCTTTTATGAACTACCTATATATTCCTTTTCTATAGACACCAAGGCACAGATGGTTTATAGGAAATTATATTTTAGAGATACATACCATCTTAAGTGGACTAATGACTTTGTTAAAAAATGGTTTTGATTTCCAGCTCCTCTTCTTCAGAAACAGTTTCCCTGTGGTCAGCATGAGTGATTGCTAAACTTCCAGCTCTACACCCACAGTGTCCCAGGTGCAGTTGTATGCTGCACATTTAATAATGTGCGATAAAGCCCCAGCACTTACTTACAGCTATGAAAACATGAAGTCAAATGCATCTGGGGATTTTTAAGTAATCTAGCTTCATTTGGTTTGTTAGGCACTCTGCGGTCATATCAAGTCATGCTTACTCCAGCCTTTTCCATGACTGTGTGTGATGACAAATTTCTCAGACTCACAACAAACACAACACTCCCACCAGAGTCAGTGCACAGAACCAACAAATTTTCTCATGCTTTGCACCACCGTGGGACTGGTTTGTCCTGAGTGAGCAACAATTCAGAGAAAACATCTAAAAAGAACAAAAACATGCATTTTCTGGGACAGCAGCTTCATGCTGTGCGCGCTCGGTACAATGCACACTTCAAGGGAAACAGGGAGGCAGCTGGTTTGTGTGATTTATGAGAGGAGTAATAAAACGTCTTTGTGGCTCCAGAGGAGCTGAATTTCACTCAGCTTCATTTTTTAAATGTCTGCTTTTTGTGTCTCTTTGACAGACAACTATGGTGGATATGAGAACCAGCTTTTCAAAGGTAATGATCAAGCTCTTTTGTTGTCCTTGGTGAATAGCCATGGATGTGAACCAGTTCATTATGCACGACTGTCAATTTGCCCTCACTCGCATTCACATTCTGTAGACACAAATTTAACATTGAACAGATGCAGGTTTAATTTTCTCCTGAGAAATCAAGCTAACTGGTCTCCGAGAAAAGCAAATAAGCCATGTGCTGTATTCATGTTACTTCTTTCTGACTTGTAAAAGCAGTGATATTGACATCCAGATCATAACTACAAGTAGTAGGATTTTTTAAAAGCTCCTGGTAAGAAGCCTCGGAGAAACCTCAGTTTTATTGGACAACATGTATAGAAGCTGTCAGGACCCAGTCAGTTAATTTAAGGGTCCCTTGGAATACTGTTTTACCTGCTGGGTTTCTCCACAAATCATGCTGGATATCTTTGGACTAAAAATGGTCTTTCTGCCTATACTGGAGGTTATGTGGCTCCGTTGATATAAACCACATTCACACTGACTGCAAATAGTGGCCTCAAGTAAACTTCTCGGCTGATGTAATTACATCCATAGCCTGTGAGATTTATCATAAGAAACCTTATGATTACAACTCTGTTTAATAACAAGTGTCTGGAAGGTAGCCTGTTTAATGGATCAACGTTGACAATTCAGATATGAAAACTTATCCATCACCTTTCAACCCTTATGTGCTTCTTTTAAGGCCTTTCTATTACATGGAATGAAGATTTAAAGAATTGAAAATGACATAATGATGACTAAAACTTGTTTTTGTTTCGAAAAAACACAATCTTTTCAACCTCTTTTGTTTGCATTTTCTTTGTTCTTCAGAGGAGGACTTCACTGGAGAGGAGGAGGAAATGCCTTCATTTAGAGGTAAGGGCCACATGAACAAATCTAACAATGAAAAACAGCATCATCTTAGGATGGGCTTTTTTTTTCTTCCCCCAGCGGTGACATATTGTGTACAAATTGTAGGTTTGGTGAGTTTGTTATGTTAACAAGCTCCAGTCCAGTAATACAGTTTTAAAATACGCCTATACGTCAGTCCAATCAATCCATTATTTGTAATTGAAATCGTACCAGTTAAGTTACAATTAACTGAAACATTTTAGCAAAAAAATGTTATTCTTAGAGAATAAAATACCAGATGTGAACAATTTTCAAGTTTTATATCAGTTTTAGCTTTGGGACACCCTGACGGGAATTATTCACTATATACTGACTAAATAGATCAGTTGCATCAGACGAGTCAATAAATGGCAGAATATTGACAAAAACCCCTCTAAAGTAGCACATTCAGAGATTAGGTGAACATCATTAGACGATAGAGGCTGAAGAGCACATTTGTTTCTCAGGAGTTGATTGAAAATGAAAAAAAGAACAAAAAATAATGGAGTTACATTTTCCATGCATATATGAATACAAACACAAATGGAATAGTTGTGTATCTCTCATATTAACTCTAAGATGATACTGAATAAGTCAGTTTGGTGTAATTCCTGTTGCCCCCAAGCGGGAGAAAATAAATAAAATGAAAAGATTTAAATGTTAAAATCATGTGCTGATGAGCCAAAACATCACGACAGTCCCTGCAGCCGAATCTGATCTGTCCCACTAAGAACTTTGGAGATGATATCTTGGACCAGGGTATTAGCTGTAGATATTTTAAATACTATACATATCAGTTCAACATGTACCTCCAGTATCTGCCATGTAAAGGCTCCACAAGCCTTACCGTTTTGGAGATGCTTCAGTCTCTGCCTTAGGAACGTGGTTTCTATCTTTTAGCTACTATTGTTTTTGTTTTGTTTAACTAAAGAATCTGGATACTTCTTTTATGAGCGCTTAATTTTACAGTAGATACAACTAAACGATCAGATCAGAAAATCAATTTTGTTTTTCCTTTGCTAATTTACTCACTTTGTTGACTTTGTTCGTGTGATTTGATCTCCAGGTCGTAGTCGAGGTGGCTGCGTGCGGTGCCAGCAGAGCCATTCTCTTCAACTGGCTGTCAAAATCCTCTATGGATTTGTTGCCTTCCTAATCATAACTGTTGCAGTGCTGGCTTCACTTGGTGAGCTCAACTTGACTTTTGATTTGCTCTAAATGAAAACACAGAGGTCTTCCTCATGCAGAGATTGGTTGGACGCATTCAGCTCTGTGCATTCAAATGAGTGAAAAGCACATCAGATTTCTCTACATACATTTTAGTTGCCTGAATAGTGCACTCCCCAAACTCCCATAGATCAAGTGAATGTGTTCCTGGATTCTGTTGCCCATGTTTTACCTGACAGTTACTCAGCAGCAGCAGGTGCTTTTTACATCAGCATCACTTTTTATTGGGCTTGAAAGCCGTAAATCTTTATGCTTTACAATTGTTCAGGGACATCAGAGGACAGAGTCAGGCAAGAACTGATTCAAAATCCCTCAACACACAGAAGGCTGCATTCAGATACACATCCTAATAAAGCCCAGTTTTGAATTAGGTGTGCCACAAAATGCGTGTGGGCATTTTGTGTAATTTTTCATTTGCACTTGTGCTGGAAACCTGGACGGAGTGTGCATGTTCATCATCTGCCATCAGCAAGTGGTTTCAGCAAACATTTGGTTGTTAGGAGAAACCACTTTTTAAGTAGGGGATTTTTGACCCCTTTATGCTTAATTTCTTTCTTTTTAGACCATTTCTGCACCTAATAATGTATTTTTATTTTGTGTGTAAAGAAAAGCACACAAATCAGACACCATTCATTTTCAATGTAGGATTTAAACCACAGTTAGTTAATAGTTTTAGCAGAGTATCAGATGGAAATATGCCTATGATTTTTCTTTAGTTTTCTCCCTTTATATTTACAAAAATACTATTTTACTTAAGCAAAACTGTTCCCCCAGAAACTGTTCCAAACTCTAAAAAAGAGGAAACCTCAAGTATTTCTCTTGTCTCTAATTCATACAGAGCTACACTACACTACTACCATTTGTTTTTTTCCACTATAAAGGACAATATGCTGACTAATTTGAAAGCTGATACTGTTGCAACAGGTTCTCAAGTCACAAAAAGAATAAAAAAACAAGCATTTTCATTTATAATGTTCATGTCACAGGACATACTAAAAATATATAACTTTTTTCTTTAAAACTTGATCATCAGCAAGTTTAACCACCTCTTTAAGGGCAGTTTTGGAAGTTTGCTGTATATCCAAGCAAATTCACCCAAAGTTTAGACTGTGCAATAGCCAGAAAGATTGCAAAAGACCCAAGAGCTACAGCTCAGACTCTACATCCCTCATTTGGTATGTTACATGTTAAAGGTAATGACAATGCAATTAGAAAAAGACTGAAGACGTATGGCTTGTTTGCAGGGTTGCCAGGAGTCTTGCTAGGAGAAATCCAGTTCTTTTTAAAAAGAGCACGACAGCATGGCTTAGATTTGCAAAATACATTTGAATAACACACACTGACACTGTGTCAACGTCCAGTACAGCTGTGCAGCACCAAAGTACTAAAACTTTAATACCATTTGAAGAAGTCATGCACTTGGCCGCAAATCCCATCCGTGAATATGCACAAGAAGAGAAACAGTAACCTTTGATATTCAATTCCCTGCTGAACATCTGTTTTTTAGCAACGTTTTTTTTCTGCACAAAATATGGACTCAAGTAACACAGTTTTACCCCTTTACGGAAAAAAATAATTTGGGGAATGAAATGTGTTTTGTCACACTGAAAGCATTATTTTGAAACATATGCCACCAGATGCACACCCCTGCATACCCATAAAAAAAGATTTACTCATTCACACTCATATATTCTGTTGCTTCAATGAATAGAAGAAGCCACAGGCCATGTTCAACTGCACTGTTACATCAGCTAGTATGTGCACATGTGGAAGCATTTATATATGCAAACAAACTACGGTACGGCCTCTAATAATGCCCTGGGTCAAAGCTTAGGATGTTGAAAAGCTAACTGTTGCTAAACTGCTGTTAGTCACTTGGGAAATATGTTGAGGGATTATAACCTGACCAGCTGGATAAACCATCATTCATAATTAGTGTTTTGGCCAATGAAAACTTTAGGTGTTTTGTTGTCAGGGCTTAAATTACAACTTCCTGTTTTTACTCCTTTAAATATCTCTTATTTCCTGTTAACACCAAGTTACTGCTGTTAATTATTTCCTCCTTACATGATTAAATCTAATGATTTCATTCCCCATTTACCCCAGAGCACTCGGATCGCTCACTGTTATTGTTCCTGCACTTATATATAAGTTATATATATAAGTACAACTGTTTAAAATACTTTGAAATATTTATGTGTAATTCTGTGTACTCAGTGTTCAGGAAGGTGGACAGCCTCTCTGAAGAAGAATCAGCTTACTACAAAAAGATCACAAAGGTCCAGCAAGGAATAGAGGGTAAAGTAACTTTTTTTAATACTCACTTTGATCCTATCAGAACTATGAGAAAATATCAAGGAATAATTGTTTTTTCACAGATAACAAAGTTCTTGCACATTTGTTGAATTGAACTGTTTTACTTACATTCCTACTAACTTCTGGGATTTTATATATTCCTAAAACAGCTTTAATTGTGTTTCAATTTAAAGCATGACAGGAGTTGACTGTCTGTGAATATTATCACATGGATCAGCACATTTTAACATATTGGAATTCAGGAAGGTTTACCTTACACGCTTCAGCTGATTGTTTATACATTAGTTTTCTTCTTCTATTCACCTGATTACACATTAGGAACTTGGTTGTGTGGTCAGCTGTCAAATACAGTAATTTAGAGCATCCTGCCTCTTTTCCTGTGCCATCTCACGTCCTTTTTTAACTTCCCATCCCAGATGTGAGGGCCACATCTAACTGTTCAGGCTGCCTGGATGCAACTCTGTACAGTGAGGAGATCAGTAAGCTGAAGAAAGAGTTTGAAGACATTCAGAGAATGATACTGGCACAGGAGCAGGTATGGTGGCCCTCAAAAAAAGCTCAAATAATAAAAGGGGACCAGTAGTTTAAAGCCCAAAGAAAATTTACCACCATTGTTCTTCTCCAGGTCCTGGACCAAGCCTCCAAGACCCAGGCGACGCTAAAGGATACAAGTAACCGGCTGACACGTGACATCCAAAACCACCTTATGTCAATCAAAGTTCTCAATCAGTCACTGGAAAGATACCTGGATCGGGTGGAGGGCTGGAAGGACGTGGTTGAAGAAACTCAGGAGAAGATAAAAACACTGCTGGAGGATTCGTTTGACATCAAAGCTACAGCACATCAAGTTAATACAACAGTGGCACACAGGTGAATGAAAAGCTGAGAAAAGACAGATGTGACTAGATCATACACTTAATGGAGCATGCTCAGTGTTCAGATTAATGAATGGAGGAAAGCATTTTGCAACACCAATAACCTTAAACTATACAGCATCCACAGCCTGCCGGATTATTTCAGTTTTTCCTTAACTCTACGTGTATTCACCTTTAAGGGTGATGCTCATTTATAACTCAGTGTTTTTATTCTTGCACTCTACTAGAGTAGCTTTGTGCGATTCAAGGTTCATAATAATCTGGATTTAGGTTATATTGGGCCTTGGTGCAGTTCTCAATACATCCAAAGTTCTTGTTGGTTGCCCCTGATAAACAAATTATTAGAACATCATGTACATGTGTGCATATGTGTCTGAAATAACTCTATCAGGGATATTTGCCCTTATTATCAACACTGCTGCTAACTCCCATCTTCTGTGATCCCTCTACCTGTTAGTACACAGTGGATAGATGCCCTGCAGAGAAAAGCAGATGAGGATACGTATGTCCTCCATAAATTAACCAGTGACTGGCAGAACTACAGCCGGGTTCTGAGTGCTATCAAGTCCAACACCAGCAGCACAATGCAAACCATCCGCTTCCTACAGAACAACATCGTAGCAGATCACCAAAGGATCGCCATATCCACTGAGCTCTACTATGATCTCACTCACCAGGTTAGTGCATTTGTAAGCTTGATTTTTCTTAGATATTCGTAAACAGACTGTGTTAAATATAAAAAAAAAAATCATTCATAATAGAAGAGATATGGTTGTTTACATGGCCATAAATCAGTTAGGAGGAACAGTTATCGAGATTTAAATTGATTCTAAGTTAACTTGTCCTTTGGAGAATCAAATGGTCAATTTGCAGCTGGACAGTCCAATCTCTTGTAAATCAGTAAATCAAGCAATTTGGGGAGGTGTGAGGATAGGATCCAGATTGTTTGGGTGTTTTCTGCAGGTGATGAACTTACAGATGCAGCTAGACAACGTGTCAACATTCACGGACGAACATGAGGAGAACATGCATGACCTTCACTACCATTCAAGGTAACATTCAAAACACTCAATATCCTTACACTGACTTTCTCCTGTTAAGGCTTAATGTACTATCAACTTCCTGATTTTTACATTAGTCTGACTTATGTGAAAGTTAAATACTGAAACAAGTCTGTAGGTGGAGTGATGTTTATATATCATGAAGTCTATTATATGTGTATTTATTTATTTATATACACAGAGAAACATATCATTCCAGTCAGCACAAACTTCTGTCCTCTTTAGGTACTATGAGAACCGGACGGGTGAGCGGTTCTCTGCCTTGGATGGTCGCTTGAACTCTATTGAGATGGAGATTGTCTCAATCTCCTCCAGCGTCAATGCTACTGTGAGCCACGTCCAAAGCATGTATAAGTACATCAACACAGAGAGCTCGTCATGCCAGACTCGCCTGGGCAGACACACCGATGAACTGCAGGTTGCGAAAAACACAACAACTATATTGTAGTTTTTGGAGTTATTTCTGGAGACCAAGCTTTTTTCCGAAATGCTGAAACATGTTGCAGTTTCTGTCTGGGTCGTACTAGTTGTCCAATACTAACGGCTTTCAGATTTAGAGTCAGCAAGTGAAAATTCTTAAAGTACACACAAAAGACTCCCAGTAGCAAAATGCTTGTTGACCAGTGTAATTTGCATGATCACTTGGGCTAGTTAGTTAGCGTTAAGGTTAGTTAAGCTGATTTTTGATTTGTCACATAAACTTCTAATATTTAGCCCTTCCATTGTTAAATTCCAACTGCATCTCATTATCTATGCACCCCCCCCTCCTCTCTTTTTTTGTGCAGAACTTGAACAACACAGTCTTGCTACTGCTGCACTTAGCTGACACTCTAAGGCAGCAGAACCTGTTGCTGAATGTCCGACTGGACATGGACGTCAGGAATTTGTCTATGGTGATGGAGGAGATGAAACTAGTAGATGTTCACCATACACAGCTAATGCAGAACTTCACTATACTTAAAGGTGGATGTTGCTGTGTATAAACAACAAGAATAGCAAAGAATGCTTTGCTTTGATTTGTTTTTTCCTTTTACATTTACAACACCATCTGTTGTCAACAGGCGCTCCTGGACCCCCAGGACCCAAAGGAAACCGTGGTGAAAGTGGTCCAAAAGGACCCATTGGGCTGACTGGCAGCAAAGGTGACCGAGGCCCTACAGGAAATCGTGGACCTGCTGGACCTAAAGGTTCTCCTGGTCCCAAAGGAGTATCTGGTGAAAGAGGCCCTAGTGGCAGTAGAGGGGCACAAGGTAGCAAAGGAGATAAGGGGTCCATGGGTCCACCAGGCCCAAAAGGTGAGAGGGGCCAGAAAGGTGATATGGGTCCCCCTGGTAAAGATGGTCTCCCAGGACCTCCAGGGTCTCCAGGGATCGAAGGCCAGGCCGGAATACCTGGCATTAGTGGGCCAATAGGACCCAAGGGAAAACAGGGGCCAGTAGGGCCGCATGGACCACCAGGAGTCTCTGGACCTCCTGGCTTGCCATGCAGCCATGACCGAATCAACAACCCCACACAAGGGACTGTGGCGCCTGCTGCTGGTTCCAAGAGACAATAGAGAGAAACATGGAGTCCGATGTAATTTGTCTCGTATGAAGAAGTTGAAGGGATCATGGTCCAATGCCCAATTATCAATTTCTATGAAACTGAGGAGGACAATGAAGAACTTAATGAACAAGTGCATCAAATCAAATTTAACATGGGGGAGTTAAAAAGGGTTTTCCTGATCCTGTGCTGAACTAAAAAGGAAGGCCTAAAACTACAACAGAACTGCTATTACAAACTGAACTGTTGGTGAGAAGGCAAAATGACCAAGCCTAAAAGCTGACAGTGTTTGGAAAGACTTTTTGGAAGTGGTCTTCATATGACTGATGGGGTCTGTTACAGTGGAAATTATACAACAACAACAAATTAATTTACAGAACAAAATAAAAAACTAAATCACAAAATCAGTAGGAATATAAAAAAAGAAAAGAAAAACATCCATTACTAAATATGAAGTCTTGCCTGTTTAATGTAGCAGAAGCAAAGAATGTGTTTGAGGTTGTTGTCAAGCCGCTAAAACCTCTTGGGGCATAATAAATGGAAGGGTTGTTAACCACAGATTTGGACTTAAATAGTGGCGTTTTCCATCCAGACTAGCCAAAGGTTTACATTGTCATTCACGACTCTATGGAAAAATATCCACTCGTTCTGAGATTATGTACACATTGCTGACATAACCTTGCCAATGGGGGTCACTGTTATTAAAGTGTCACAATTAAAACCAAAATCAGTTTTCATTGGAGGTTCAGAGCGGGTACTCTGAGAACCTTTTTTTCCTTTAGAGGGTTCAAAGGTGATGAATTATTTTGTTGTGGGTTTATTTTTCATGTGAATGTCTCTTACATGCAGTGATTAGGGTTTTTTTTGTGGTAAAGTTGTTAGTTTAAAATAGTAAAAATGAAAGGTAAAAACAACTGCTGCTGACATTAGAGATCATAATTGTGATAATTCTTAGTGTAAGATAGGAAGCTTGATATCACTCCTATATCTTACAGCTTACAGAGCTTAAAGTGGTGATAAATCTAGTTTAGCATAAAGACTGGGGACATGGAGGAAAGCTAGCTCAAGTCTTTCCAAGATACAATAAGGAAAAAAACAGATTCAGATGTGCTTTTTGATCTTTGGAGATTAAATTAATGCTATTTTCCACTAGTATCCACTCAGCTTGACTCAACTCTATTCACTATTCTAGTGTCAGTCATTTTGAACACCACCTCAATGTACATGGGGTCGTGATAGCGATGCGGCCGAAAGTCCAGTGACTTGATTTGTATGTGCAACAAGCCCAACACACCAATGGAGGACGCTTAGGTGATGGTATACCTGCGTCTCTGTCTACGGCTTTTTGTCCTTTCTGTGATGGAGTCACTCTCATGACATCACACCATTGGCCAATCAGTGGCATGCAGTCTGTTGATGTCACATTTTCAGATCGACTCAGCTCACTTGGATCGTTGGCCGAGCAGGTACTAAAAGCACCTAGTACCAGGTACCACCACCTAATGGAAAACCCAGAAAAACCGAGTCAAGTAGAGTTGAGCCGAACTGAGTTGTTACTAGTGCAAAAGAAGCATAAGTGCATCACCTCGTATATGTTGACGCTGAGAGAGCTTTATTTTTTCTCACATCTAGAAAGAAAGAGCAAATAAGCTCATTTCACATTATGCGCTACTAATATTTTAAGACGTATGATGCCTGACAGGTCACAAAATTAAAGAAGTTTATATAAATTTATCAAGTATTAAAAATAAAAACACCAAAATTAGGGATAATTTTTCTTTACACTTTGATAATATATAGTATGGTTTTTTAATGGTGTTTGGGTCTTAAGAAACACAAATAATCACTGATATGTCAAAGCGAAAGTTTTACAAAAAGAATATCATAAAATGTCTGTAAATCTGGATGATGTAATGAAATGCGACTGGCTTGCATTGAACTTCAATAAATACTTATTGTAGAGTTTCTACTGTGTCAGTATCCTGTTGAGCTTCCAAAGATTATATAATGTAAAGAAGGGAGACTGGTTTCATCCCTGCATCAAAACACATTTCACAACCCTTCCCCATTAGATTTTTAAGCCTGATTCAATTGTCTGTATATAGCCTGGTATTTTAACATGAGTATCTATTATCTAAAACACAGATAATTTATACATTTAAAGTCTATAGTGCAATTAGTGCAGTGCAAAGCTGTGCGCAAATGAGTCAACAACAAAAATACTTTTGGAATGTTAAATATCACCTATTTTATGCAACCACAAAGCACTGTAAATCAGACTGTTAGATGTGACTACGATCAGCAATCTGCACTGATATCTGAGAAAGGCTTGTGCAGCTGTGGACGAAACCAGATGAAAACCTCCCTGCAGAAGACTGTGGCTGCCCTGATCTCCTGCTGAATTATATTTTCACAGCCTTGCCCTCTTTTCCCCTGTGCTGGAACATCACATCCCTTGTGGGATGTTAAAGCAACCTGACCTCCAACAAAAACGTCCTTCAGAAAGCCACCAAAAATGCCTTATTCCTTCAGTCTCTTGAGAAGTTATGAGCATAAAGCGTTTCCTTCCTATAAAGCTGAAGCAAAAGTGTGAATTTCTGTCATTTTTAAATCATTTAGAAATTCTTCACCATAATTCAAACCATTTCTTGTCTTTCTATTTTGTAGTTGGGAAGCCCTAAAGCAGATATGTCTAAACTCTTCCCATATGTAGAGCTATTAATCATTAGCAGTGATGCTAAACTGATGGATGGGAAATTTGCAGGGCAGAGTATTAAAGATATCACTACAACCAGCTATTAACAGACATGCAAACAATTGTGCAACTATGCTACATTTTTATTTGTTTTAAATACTTTACATACACATCCCTCATTGTGCTTTTTTATTTAGATAATTATCATTTAATTATAGCCTACCTTGTTCACAATGTTCCGATCTTACTACCGCCCACCCTTGATGTCAGTTGCAGGATCATCAAGTGCTTGGACACACTCTGTATCCAATGGCAGGAATTATTTGCTAATTTCAGTTTGCACTGTGCACCGCACGCTAACTTGGAAGGTATATTTGAAAACCTTAAACCTAAAACTTGCAGAGGTCACTGGAGGGGGGATTTTAATTACAGTTTCTTTACATATTATGAAGGCTCAGCATCTCTAACCCCAGACTCCTGTCAGAATAACACATAGCCAAAAGAGCAACAAATATTCATCATGTTTACCAGTGAAAATGCTCTACTGTTGTCTTTTTGGTGCCCAAGTAAAGCTAACTGATTTTTTTTTCCTACTTATAGTTTATCTAGTAGATGTAGAAAAGTTTTGATTCACTTGAAAGTTGTATATATTTTTTTCAGATTACAACACTCAGTGACGCTGTAACATAAATAAGGAGCTGTCTGCTATGAGAAAATGTTCAGAGCAAGGCATGTTGTGCTTACTGACCAGTATAAATCAACCCACCAGATTTGCTTTCACTTCAGAGTGAATTAAACTTCACTTTACAGAGTAAAAGCTCCAACTTCAAAATTTTCCTGAAAATCATTAATGGGGGGATGTAACACTTCTTCCCTCCCTCCACACCACAACTGGCTGGTGATAAAGAAGGTTCAGTAGTCGTAAAAGGCTGTATGTGGGCAACAGTTTATTACCAAAAACCCACAGGACCAATGTGTTCTGCTGATTGTGATGTCATGTCATGCCTGCACATGGCTGAACTGTGTAATGTAGAAAAAAAAGCTCTGAACATCTGTAATTCACATTATAGGGTTAGGGTTAGTTGTCTTTTCAGCCCTCTTTGCCCTCCCATTTCTCAGCTGATATATTGCAGCCATAAGTAATTCTTTAATGGCCATGTTTAATTTAAACATGCTTACCTTTTGATTAAAATTGGCACCTCAAGCCGTGAAACTATTTACCTCTGTAAGTATGAAAGCTTTATAAATTAGATAGCTCACTTTTCAATCTTCACTTGTCTCTTTAAGATAAAATTCTCCATTACAAAGTCTGTTTGAGGGGTGGTGCGGGTCTTTTAGCTTTCTGTCTGTATGACAACTCTGGTTGTGTAATTTTAAGCATATTGACATTAAACCTGCCAGAAGTGGGAGGTAGCATATAGAGACATTACCTAACCTTCGTCAACACACACATACATGCACGCACATATACCACAAAATTTGAGACGTTAGCTAACTGTTGATTTGACAGGCCCCCAAAGAATTCATTACATAGACAGCTGTAAAAACACTCTGCTTTTCCCTGTGGCTCAGGTAACTCATACTATGTTTGTGTGTGTGAGAGAGAGGACAGATATCACACCTGCTGCAATGTGTGAGTAACAAGTCACTGTTAAATAAACACATACTGGCTTACACTTGGAAAACACGCACACACAAAATCGTCACCAGTAATGTGGTAAAGACATTTTGAGGTGAGTCAGAGGCCCAGTTAGAGTAGTTTCGCCTCAGCTCCTTCACATCCACCCAGAGTACAGTTCTCTTTATTGCCTCAGATGTCCACCAACACACTTGACTGCCAGAAACCTGACACAGTTCCTACTAGCCCAAAAACATGCATTGCGTTGACTGATGTGATTTGTTGTTTCGTTGCCCAAATACAAACGATTGCTAAGAAATTGAAGTTACTCCTATACTTTCTCCATCCCTGTAGAATATACAATATATATTTTAATTATTTGTCAGAAGGTTCAATAAAGACAATCCCAGGACAGGAACAAACTCCACCCAACAACTCAGCAGGCATGCCCAGGTGTCCACCCCCTAAGAAACAAAAGGAAAAAACCCACAGCCATCCTCTGGTGGGAGAAGTCACACATAAACACTGATAATAACACTCATGTTTGAAAAAACTGAGATTTATCTGGTCATAATTTCATGGTTCAGGCTTTAAAAGGGTTAAACTCTGACTTTAGGAGAGTTCACAGAAATGTTCTATGTTCACATAATTTATATTAAAACACCATATGTGTGTGTATATACATATTTCATGTATCCACACACACAAATATATACATATATAAATACATATACATACATACATATATATATGCATATAGATAGATAGATAGATAGATAGATAGATAGATAGATAGATAGATAGATAGATAGATAGATAGATAGATAGATAGATATACATACATACATACATATATGTGTGTGTGTGTGAAATATGGAACTGCAATACAGTTGTTAAATACACTATGGTTACATTAAGGTAAGATTCACCAAGTGAATCACCATGTAAAGACTAAGGAGAAAACTGGAAAGGTCTGTGACACAACTTCTGCCAAGTTTCAAGGCTCAGAGGCTCGAGATGAGAGACGGACTCAAACAAAGATTCAACCAAAGACTCAGGAAGTGATAAGCAAAGAACTTTATTTAACAGTGATGAAGTGCACATGGTAAACAGAGCTAAAGCTATGAACTGAGCAGGAACTATGAACATGAACTAGAGACGGCTGGGTGCGGGAACTTGACGAGGGAAACTGTGACAGGTCAAGGCATTGTCTGGAGGTGGAGAGAAGTAGGAGGGGAAGCCGAGAGACAGAGGTCTGGGTGAGTCCAAAATTCCAAGCAGTAGAGTAGGGAGGCAGGCAGGTGAGAGTGGTGAGTAACTGTGGAAATTTACTGTGACTCACCCACAACCATGACGCCAAGATTGTTATTGTACAGCTAAATGTATATCTGTATTGCTGTGCCTGGAAGAGGCAACACTTGAATGAAAGAACCATGAAGAAGACTGTGACTATTATGAAGTGCCACCTCTGCTCTAAAGATAACCTTATAAAGTTTAATCCTGCATTTTCTACAACTAAATGTTTCACTCCAATATTTGCAACTTATCAAATACATAAACACACCCATATTTGAACATGTAATTCCTAGAAGACAGTGTTTACAGAGAAATCTTTGTGATGGTGATGTTATTTATGGCTATCTGTTAACTTTGTTTAAGGTCTCTTTAGTTTGTAAATGTATGTTTATTAGATGGAAGGAAAGTAATGATATATTGGATTGATTATCATGGTACAGTTATGTAAATAATTATAAATAATTATGTAGCAATGATAAAGAAATGAACAAAGAACTCACTTGAAAACACAGACTTCAATTTTCATGTTGCACACCTGTTTACCTTGAACATTCGCCCAGCTCTTAATCCACTTTCTAAGACTTTTACTCCCCTGGAGGAAAAATGGCTCGACTAAAAATTCAGCTTCCTGCAGACACCCTCAAGTCAAGTTATTTCAATAAGTAACCTTACATTTAATCCAGAAATGAAATTAAAGTATTATAAGTTTGTTTGCTCTGCATAGCCGCAAAGGAACATGATTTTTTTCCCCATTTTTTTATTATAACCATGTGTTTTATGAAGTTTTAAGAGAAGCTGCAGCCAAATAAGGAGGATTACTCTGCAGCGACCAGCTGGAGAACATTTGGAGAACATTTTTGTCTGTTTTCTTTTTTGACACGCTGATGTTCCAGTGAACTTGCTGTCGTATGAGTCGATTTTTGTTTTTTAAAGGTCTGTTTATGCCAGTTGCAATATAAACTTTCTTCTCATTGAAGTACTGGTAAGAAATACTGATGAATTGTTCCTCAGAAGTGTAAATCAGGGCATTACATAATTTTATGTGGTTTCATATAAATAAAAGAATCTTATGAACAACTCCAGAAATATGTTTAAGAGTGGGCCAAGATTTTTTTGCCATTAAGTTGAAAATTGGTCATGCCGTTGCACATTTTTGTCTCTAGCTTTGATTCAGTTCTGGTTTATTTATATAGCACCAAATCACAACAACAGCTGTCTCGTGGTGCTTTACGTGCAAAGTAAAGGCCCTACACTATTCAGGAGAAAATCTTAACAAGACAGCAGCAACATGATGGTGGCTTGTTGTGGATTGGTGGGTTTTCTCGCTTTGCCTTTTCTCATTGGATAAAACAGGCCTT